CTTTGTTTGGTGTTTCATTATGCTATCAAATATTGTGTTATTAGCGGCGTTCTCGTTTTATTTAATTCATTGCAGCTCCCCTGCTGATGTCTTTGATGGTGTATCCATTCACATTTCTCTTATTGAAATGTCTGCAGGAACCTAGAATACAGGTTAATGAAGTGCTACACTCCTTTAATGTTCCAGCACCAATCTGCACCACCTTTTTACAGACAGACAATACCATTCCTCTCAGTTTGAAGCTTTATTTCTCTTCAACAACCTCACACCACATATCTCGTCCTGTTTTTGGCCCGATTCTTTTGCTAAAGAATAGAGGTACGAGTGCTGGATAATAAGCATAGACTATGTACAAAAGCTGATTGTTGCCAACATGTTGGCATCCATTGGTGTTTGTTCTGCTGATTTAAAGCCTTTAGTTTTGCGTTTTTGGCTGTCACCATCCCGTTAGCTTTGAAACAAGTTTCAAATGGGTGCTAATTGTGACTTCCAAAAAGCAGGCTTACATGATTAAGCCCGATCGCTAAATGATTTTTAAAGAAATACTGATGTTATGATACCTCTTTGATATTCATTTCTTTCACACACACAAAACATAAAGAGGTCTTCCTAACTGTTCTTATGTATAGTATTTACTCATTTATGCTCAAACCTGTGCCGAGTCTCCACTGGTGGACGAACTAAGCCTTGTTTTCTAACCCCTGTTTTGGTACCGTTCTCTGAAAAGGCTCATTTTTCAGGTACAGTTGGTCATTTTAACTTGTGACTCTTTTTCTGAGCCTGCTTAAACTGGACTTTTGAAGAATTGCAGTACTTTCAAACTGGCTTTATTTTTCAGCTTAAATTGCTGCTGGAGATTAACACAGATTTACCAGCTCTTGCTCTAGTCAACAGACTGGCTTTAACCTTGGTCAGATATGACCAGTAGGGGCGGGTTTTAATAATCGATTCATCGATTAAAATCGATTCTGGCTTGGATAACGTGATATCGATTCATTAAAATCTTGAATCGATTTTTTTATATAAATGTATTTTGTCCAAAATTCCAGAATCTCAGGTGAAACGTCACAAACTTTTGACAACCACCAAACATTTAAAACGGTAAATGAGAGCAGGAACACGGCTTCTGCACAAAGACGTAAACACAAAGCACTACCCGCAGATCAGAATCAGTGAGATGTCGCCTTTCTCACCCGACGGCACGAACACGGTCGGGGCTGAAAGCCAACAGCTCGCTGATTCTGATGTTTCGGCGGGTCCGCGCTTTGTGTTTACGCCCTTTTTGCGCTGATTCGAAAGCTGTTAGTTTTATCTCTCTCCAAACAATATTGACCGAACCAGCAGCAAAAGAAGATCCAAACTAAGCTTCACATAAACATCGTCATGGACTCCCTCTGACTTTTGCTGTTTTGCTTCCACTACGATAAAATCACACTTCATGCACAGCTCTCGCTCTCTTTCTCTCTCAGTACTTCAAGAACAGTTTCCCGTCTATCCCCAAAATCTGTTTTCTGCATTATTCGCTTGCTTGTTACGCACAAGACTACCGTTATTTACAGCGCTGCTGGCTGATGGTTTTATTTCCTTTTATTTACTTCCGAAAAGAAAACCTAATTTCTGCCGTTCAATAGGCTTCTGAACAAATTTAAACTTTTTAAAGTTATACAAAATGCAAAACGCCGTGTCTCTAATAAAACCGCTGTAACTTCAGAGGTAATGTTCATGTGTTGATTAATGGTTTTCTTTTGTTTTTGATGTACTGCAGAATATTTTTATAAAATCCCAGGCCAGGAAAATCACCTTCATGTTTTTCTGTGTTTTATCTTCAGCTACTTTGACACAAAGGCATCTGCTGTGATGCTCACACCTTTGATAAAGTCTTGCGATTTTCAGCTTCCTTCTTATAGATACAAAAATATGTAAATGTACTGATCTGAATTATAATATTTCTGACTGTCTGAGGGAAAATTTCCCAGATTCAAATCGAATTGAATCAAATGGTGGATCGAATCGATTCAGGACCTTGTGAATCGGAATCGAATCGATTCTAGAAATGAGTGACGATACCCAGCCCTAATGACCAGTATCTTCTGAAGGCTAACATTAATGTTAACAAACTTCAGACAGATGTTGATCTTTATCTGATTTAGTGGCGCTGACCTCTTGTTGTACAGGAGCCGCACATTTTAACATGCCAAATATAAACACAGTGTGACTCACACACCTTCAAGTTGAGCTCATTTAGACATCATCATTGTTCATTTGGAGTTACGCTTATGTCCATTTAATAAATGTATTAACTCTTCTGTTAGTTGCTCTAGTCTCTCTTGAAGGAAATATATTCTCCCTTTTCCCTTTGTTTACTTTCTGGATGGAAACTTTATGCAGCACTTTGTCCTGTACAGATAACTTTTTTCTTTCTTTCTTTTTTTTATCTTTGTGACAATAACTGTGTGCATCAGCTGGAGATTGGAGCTGTGTCTCCTGGTTAGAAAGATTATTGCCTTAAAGCTGTCGAGTGTTATTATATTATTTTACATTGCTCAACTGCCAGTTTTAGTGATCTAAATTTTCCTTTGAAAATCAAACGCTGCGTTGTCTCGACTCCATCCTGACAGGCTGGTTATATCCGAATCGATGGCAGCGTACCGTCATCAGAGCGAATCCAGTTGGTCCACAGATTCCAGAGTGACCCAGAAACCCGAGTGGCCATCCTCAGCATCCAGGCAGCTGGACAGGTACTTGCATACTTATCCAGCAGGCTATGCAGGCTATGCTTGATCATAATAAAGGAAATAAAACACCCTGCAGTCAATTGGAAAATCAGCTAAATAGACTCAATTTTGCATATTAGAGGTAATTATGGTTTGTACTGGTTGCTGTGAATCCTAATATCATAGAGAAATGAATGGTGGAAACGTGTTCTAGTCTTAATAATAAACTCATTGACCTCAATTATTCTGAGTGACCAACAGAAATGTTATGCATTCCAATCAAAAGAAGTGGGTGCTTGAAGCACTTACGTATCAATTAGCTGATAATATTCTGCTATTAAAAAGAATTTCAACAAATTAAATTTCATTCAATCGGACTGGATTGTTCCATTTTTGAGGTGGTTGTACTGGGTACTCTGAAACAGATATGTAGCGTGTGTGTTTGTGTGTGTCCTCTCCAGGGTTTGACCTTCACCGCTGCCAGCCACGTGGTGTTTGCCGAGCTCTACTGGAACCCCGGTCACGTCAAGCAGGCTGAAGATCGTGCCCACCGCATTGGGCAGACGTCCTCCGTCAACGTGCATTATCTCATTGCCAAGGGCACCTTCGACACCGTCATGTGGTCCATGCTCAACAGGAAGGTACTGTGGGTGACATTATGGCAGCAAAGTTGGAGAAATTTATGCAAAGCTGCTTATGATTTCACTGGTCATATTAAATTTGAATGATAAATCACCCTTACTGCTCTTGTACTGATTAGGCTCTTCAGTGTTTTTAATGGAGGCAATACTAACATTTGCATATTGCTACGCAATAAGTTTTAAGAGTAATCCAGAAGTTTCTCTTCCTGGACAGGATGTTTCTGTCTCCAAATTACGATTACACATCATGGCTTCCAAACTGATCATCACAAGCGAAGTTGTGAATAAATTTAAATGATTTCTGATCTGAAAAATATTTACTTACCACGTTTTCGGTGACCAGTTGTTACAGTTTTGCCTTTGTGCACAACCGTAATAGATTTAAGACCTCACGCAAGTAGGTTTGTCAACATAGGACAACAGTGGTGAGTGATCGCAGGATCTTTTCCATGGTTAAAGGGAAAACTCCTTTACGACATCCAACCAAGAGAAAACCCTTTTTCCTTAAACTGTTCACTTGAGTTTCTTATTGTTTTATTTAAAATGTATTCTTGTGGTGTAAAGAAGCAAAACTGTAAAAACAACAAAAAAATGTGTCACTGTTCATAAATTTGTGGACCTAAGTGTGAAGTGAAGGTACAACATAAGGTTCCTTGTGTTTCAGGAAAAGGTGACTGGCAGCACTCTAAATGGAAGAAAGGAATATCTGAAGGCCGACGAGGGCGACAAGGACAAATGGGAGTTCCTCAACTTTGCCAACGCGTGGACGCCAAGTGAGATGGTGCTGCCGCTGGAGGGAAGCACAGGAAATGCCAAAACCGACGTCTTCTTTACTCATGTGAGTCAGCAGGAAATCTTCAACAGACATCTATTTCTTTCTCTCTTTAAATTAGCTCTGACATGCCGAGCCATCGAGTATAAAGCCACAGGAGCTTTCATAATAAATGAGTCTAATTTCATATAAAGTCATCACACTTACTGTTTGGTTTGTTCCTCATTTCTCTATGCCACCACTGGCTCTGTAGCTCCATAGCAAAGCATAATGTGATGTATGAGAAAAGAAAGTTGCTTTTTCTTGTTGCCATCATAAATAAATCTGCACGAGGACCTTGGGAGCTCGAGAGCTGTGGTCCGGGTGGCGATAACTAAATCGCTGCGTAAGGAGTTCTTGTTGCGGCATTGTCATTTGAAACTGAGTGTAGAAAGCTGTTAAACTTTGTGTGTAGTCAGAAGAATTGGACGAATGCGTCCTGGGCGCAGATTTTCATGTTTACTGTGATTATTGTACGAATGTAAAAGAAAACAAAAGCATGCACACAGACGTGGAAACGTTTCACACTACTGATCAGCCACAACATTGAAACCACACTTTGAATATTGTGTAGGCTTTCACTGCCACACGAACTCTGAGCTGTTAAAGTGCAGACTCCTGGAGACCTTTGACCTTTGTCCTCTGGAGCCCAGACATTAAGCAGCAGATCCTTAAAGTCCTGCATGTTGCGAGATGGGGACATCCTCACAGAGACATCCACCACATTCAGATCTAGGCCAAGTCAGCACCTTGAACTCTTTGTCAAGGTCCTGAAAAGTGTTTGTAGTGCGACAAGGTCCGTAATCCTTCTGAAATAGGCCACGGCCACCGGGGAATCCCGCTGCAACAAATCCAGCTACGCTCACGCCTAGTCAAGTAGTGTGTGGGGTGTAAAGGTTGTATCCCTAAAAAAGTTCAAATTCATTTAATTTTTCAGTCAGAGGCTGAACAAGTTTACCATTTAAGGCCATTTCATACTGGAATATCTTGCAAACATGAACCAGTAAGTCCAGAGAGGAGGTTCTTTTGTTATCTGCCGCTGACACTTTCTGTCTCAGTTTCACATCAGAAACCCTTCCTCTTCTTTTTCTTCTTTTATTGTGAAACATTCGGAGGAACAGTCTGTGGAAAAATCCCATTATGAGCAGATATTTGCTGCTCTTTGTTGTTCATTTGTAAGGTAGTCCGCTCATCACCAGCAATTATGTCCTTAGCTGTTAGCGCTGCACTCCTCTCTGACTGTTGGCGACTAAAATCTGCTCCAGTTGGTGGAAACAGGGTGTTGTGTCACATCTTAGAATGTTTCAATTTCACTTGTCGGTGGTTTTAATGTCGCAGCCAAATTGGTAAAATGTGTAACGCTTGTTTTTTTTAAGAAGAGACACATGGTACTGTTAGGATCATTATTTAATGACTGTGATGACTCGAGACGAAAAATGAAGACACTTTATAGTGTGATGGATTTATGAATTATGAAAAACTGAAAGAGCTGCACAAAATTTGTGATCAACATTAGAACATTTTGTATTTGTAGCATTGTATTTATACATTACTGATGTGTAAAGAATTAAATGGGGTTTCTGATCATCGTTGCGTGTGTTACCATGGTGTTGCTGTATGCAAATGACTGCCTTTGATGGTGAAAACAAAAGGAGGATTTGATTCAGGGATGCTTTGTCACTTTACAGGTGGATTGAAAATTGGGTGCTACAGAGACAAAAACCGACTTGAGCTTGTATTTTTATTCATTATTTATTTTATATTTTTTGCTTTAGTTTGAGAAAGAAAAGCAGCACGACATCCGTTCCTTCTTCTCCCCGCAAGCTGGCAAGACGAAGAGGAAGAGAACAGAAGATGAAGAAAGTCCCTCCATCTCCTCAGAGACGGCTGCCACGCCAGCTGGCATCCGGGTATACTTAGAAAACAGCGAGGAGGGGAACGAGGAGTCATGCTCCCAAACCTCCAAAACGCCCGATCGGGATTTCTCGCCCCAGCTGAAAAGGCTGCGAACACCGCAGCCCAACCGGAGCCCCACGTCTCGATTTGGGGGGAAGCGGAGGTCGTCTGCTGGGGGGATCAGCGCAGGCAGACCTGCCAGCGCGGTCTCCCTAATGTCTCAGCCGTCTGAGCCTGATCCTGCATCCGTGTGGAATTGCGGGGCCTGCACCTACTCCAACAGCAGCCTGTTGCCGTACTGCGAGATGTGTGAGTGCCCGCGCTCTACCTCTGCTGTCAGCTCAGGTAAGAGTAAGGAACAAATAATATCCAATTATCCGATCCCCCCCCCCTCCTCTCACCCATCCCACCCCCAACCTGCTGTTTGCGTCTGCCTGTGTGGCCCTCTTCTTCTTCTTCTCCATCTTTCTCTTTATTTTGCTGTTGTTTATTTTTGGTTTTAATTAAATTCACAAACCTGATTGCAAATCAAACTGAATTTTATTAAGGAAACGCACGCGCTTCCATCATCTCATGTCTAAAATGAAGCACCTGAAGCTGAAATCCATTCATTGCTTTATTTTCCTTCCTGTCAATATCAATCGTGGCAGTCTGTTGACATAATACTTTTGAACAGCATTACAGATTTCACCAGATGGAGATGCGAGATAGCAAAGGATGGAGGCAGACTTCCCAGAGTCTGAAATAGCACTGCTCAGAGAATATTGTCTGTCTCCCTCTCCTCTCTCTCTCTGCAGATGACAAGGACACAGTATAATTCTCACCTGTCAAGCTGAGAGAGAGAGCGAACAGGCGCCTACTATTGCTGCAAACGTCTCACACAAAGTTGGGAAAAGTTGAGCTGGCTCGAGCTGATATCTCTGACAGCCTATGATTGTATCTTGCAAAGAAGAGGGGAGGGAAGTCGTTATGACCTGGCAGACTGCAGGTCCATGCTCTTTAGATGTCTGAGATGCATCAAATCAGTTTGAGAGATGATTTAAAAAAAAATAAAATCCCCAAACTTGAATGTAGTTCACAGCTGTAATGTTTAGGTAACATGAGTTTAATACTTTTAGTACTCCACTGGCTGAATAAAGCCTTATATGAGCATGAGCTAAAGATAAGTCATTAGTCAAAAAAAAACCTAGTTTACGGCAGGTTAAGGTAGCATTTACCGATTGCTTTATAAAGACAGACTGCACTGCCTGATCACACACTTTATTTGATGCACTTAGAGGAGGCGTATTACTCTTCTCCTTATTTGATGCCACATATATCCTGTTAAATAATGAGGTCAGACTCTGTGCAAACTAATCCCAGTTATACACTTTTTTTCTACTCTTGGATCTATATGATGCCCAAGAGGGTGAACATCCCTAATATGGTCGTTGCAGGCACACAGCCAAGAGCAGCGAGTCAAAAGGAGCAGGTTTAAGGCGAACCAACACAGAGTATCAATGAAAAAAGATTATTTTGATCTATCAATCATGAAAAGCTACTGTAGTCCAAGAATAAAACTGAGAAGTTAAAAATGAGCACAGCAGGTCAATTTTAATCAATTCATGTTTTTAACTATGGTACTTCAGAAAATTATTAAAATGTTTAAAACAGAGCAAAATGCACACTGATGAATGACACAGTTTAATCTCAGTGTCAGAGTAGTTATGTATCCAGACGAGTCATAAAAAAGTAATTCCACATGAGCATAACCTCTGGCCTTCCAGACTGCCAGCTCGATGAGGTAGCAGAGTACAATACTGTCAAATAAAGCCTTTCAGGCTTGATGTTGAAATCTAAATTATTAGTTGGAGAACAGTAATTATAAAGAGCACATCTACCATGAAAAGCCTTTTTGCTCCAGTGAGGGTGTTTGCTTTTATTCACCTTCACTCTGAAAACATTTGAGAATTTGGGGAAGAAGAAAAGAGGTGGGGGGGGACACACTTGTTGGCGCTTTTACCAAAAGACAGGTGATGATTGATGTTAGTCTCGTGTTCGTGCGCTAAATATGGAGCTGGAGTCGGTTGGCTTTGAGAACAGCTAAGCTAGATGTTTCACTAAGTTTAAAAGTACCGTTAACCTTGTAATGCCTAAACCGTAAAATAATTGCAAAAAAATTAACATCTTTGAAACTGCAGTGTTTATTGAGATACTCTTGGCGTTACAGGGTTAACAGGATTTGTTAAATACGATGTGTCGCATATTCAATCTATGCCTTTTCCAGGTTTTACATTTTGGAACCATGGCGGACAAAGAAAGTCCCAGGAGGACACCATAGATTGTTTATGATAAGACACAGCCTCTGAAAAAGGCCAGAGCTCACCATACTCTCTAATGGCCAGCAGGGGGCGACTCCTCTGGTTACAAAATGAAATCTGATTGTATGGAAGGCTATGGCAAAATGATGCTACTTCTCACCTGCTTTATGACCTCAGTCAAATCATTCCACAGGTTTTGTTTTATTTTTTGCTGTATTTTGTGAATTATGGACCCACTGCAGGTAAAATAGATAATGAAGGTGAGTATGAGTTGGGGCGTGGCTACACAGTCCCCTGTTTTCAAACATATTCCTGCTACACCCTGTCCTTGCTCCAAGAGAATGAAAGCCAAAATACCAAAGTCGAAGTTTTCAAACAAATGGCAACATTGTTGTCCATCTTTTACCTACAGTCTATTATGGGTGATAACATTTGGCTGACTGATAAACTTTAGAAACACGCTTCCCGTAGATTACGTTCTACATAAATCTAAGGTTACCTAACTAGTTTAGCATCCTTTAGGACTCTGTAAAATGTTGACATCGATATAGTCCTAACACTATAGCCCTGCGTGTGTTTAAAGAAAAAGGTTGACACTGCATTAATGACTCTGAAGTCTCTGTATTATAATATAAGCGCTATAGTGAGTGCAAGCACACAGTAAATATTGGCTGAAGGTCTGTTTGCGGCTCGGTCCATTGGAAGTGAAGCCGGTGCACTTAAAACAGACACAGAACAAACAAGCAGTACCTCAGCTTTTGAGCAGCATAAAAACACCCACCCACACATTTTTCTTTTTTAACAAAATTCAGCCCCCATTTCATGCTCAGCTGCAGCAGATGCTTGATAACTATTCAGCAATCACACTCTCTTCTTTGTCACAAGCGCCACTCTGCATTCACAGCAGCAGGCCGTGTCAGCTTGCTAGACAGGGAATTTAACAACCTGCTAAATTTGTAAATGACAGACTGCGCGGAAAAATAACAACTGTATTTATGAAGATATCTCTCAACTTGGCACTGCAATCCACAGCTCGTGGAAATGTAAGAAAATAATCAGGCCGAAGCCTGTAGTGTGACATGAGAAATGCTATCTCTTCAAGAGCAACAATTTTTCACAATGACTATAAAGAAAGCCAGGACGCTCTGAATCACAGAATACTGACACATGATACAAGGACGTCAGGGCTTTGTATTTAAAGTAAAGGCAAAGATGTATCCGAGGCATTTGGCTTCCGCTCTGTATTTTCACAGAATGGCAAAAATGCAACAAGCCAGCAGCTGTAGAGGAAGAGCAGCGAGCAAACAGAAGGGATATTGGTCTGTTTTACCGTGAGGCGTTTGGACCAGAATAAAATGTACTGGAAAGTAACAGAAGGAGATGCATGAAGTAAGAAGGAATAAGATTTCAAGGGTTTTTTCTTTTGTTCAGTGGAAAGTATTGATGCTAGATGTGGGAAGCAGGAGAAACGGGAGCTTAAAACCTGGCTATCACTCTTTGCAGAGCCCTGTGTTTCTTTAGCTGTCGTGGTTACATCTGTCAATTCTTATATTCTAGCACATCACGCTGCAGTGGCAGATTTACTGCCGAAAATGGGAAAGTTTGTCACTTTTAAGTTTCACAACCAAAATAATCAGTGTCACTATAGATTTTAAAGGGTACATTTAATGGTAGATTTTCAGCTCTAGATTCTCATTCCCGGGCTCATCTAGACTCGTTTTGCATAATTGACAGTTTAAAAGAATCCCTTTTTATATCAACTTTATATCAACTCAGTGCAACTTCTTTGTTCTTCTGTTTTAAAAGTCGTTTCAGGTGCTCTCTCTTTAAGCCCTCCCTTCCTAGAAGCCTACTTTATGAATGACTAACTTCCAAAAGCTTGCCAAAGGGCAGCACATAGTGATTATGAGCTGTACCGGCTGTACTTCTTAGGTGTGCTGTGCCTGTAACTTAAAACAAATCAATTCAATTCAGTCTTATTTATATACCACCAAATCACAACCACAGGCCTGTTATATTGTGAGGAAAAGACCCCTTAAGTAATACAGAGAACCCCCAACAATCAAACAACACACTCTGAGCAAGCACTTGGCAACAGTGGGAAGGAAAAACTGTCTTTTAACAAGAAGAAACCTCTGGCAGAACCAGGCTCAGTGGCCCCTGTGGAGGTCTCCCTGTAAGGAGTGGATATCCAGACTTCCAGTTCCCTCCAACTTCTTACAAATCCAGCTAAATTTTAAAAAGACAAGGTAATTAAAAGCTAAAATTTTGTCTAATGTTAACCCATTGTTTCATCAAATGTTGGAGTCCATCTTTTCCTGTCCACATGGAGTCTTGTGCGAAACTCAGGTGCTCAAATTTGATTGGTTAGTAGTACTTTGACTACAATAGAATACAAAGAAATAGCAGAAAGCTTCTACTTTCAGTATTCTACATATTCATACATGGAGCCCATTTTTAGTTGCTCTAGTTTAAAGCCGGCGTTTTTTGCTAAAAGAGTACTTTTTCATTTAGCCCCTTATGAGCTCTAGCTAGCAAGTGTTCGGTAATTAACACCCCCAGCTCAATTGTTGACAGGCTAAATATGTGAGAAAATTATATATTTGCCTGTTTAGCTTGCAGCTAAAACAAAACAAAGTCTTACAAATTGACAAGACCCTGGTGAGGAAGACGGATACATCACTCTTTCCAACACATATAATAGTCCTATATACACCAAGCATTTAAGCCTGTGGTGCCAGGTAGCTTATGATAAAAGCTTAGTCAGTTTTGCTTTGTCTTCCTCTCCTCCAGCCAATCACCGCTGATGGCAGCGCCCATTCTTCCTGTTAAAAGGGAGTTTTTCCTTCCCACTGTTGCCAAGTGCTTGCTAATAGGGGGTTGTGTGATTGCTGGGTTTTTCTCTGTAGTATTGTAGGGTCTTTACCTTAAAATATTAATTGCTTTAAGGTGACTGTTGTTGTAATTTGGTGCTGTATGAATAAAATTACATTTATTAGAATTTATTTGATTTAAAAGCAGTTAGATTAGCACCTAACGTTTGTGTTTTTTATGTTTATGTATGTTTTGGTGATGTTGAAGTTGGTATTTGGCTTTTTTAATCCATTAAATTCTGTCTGACAGAGACGGGAATTTACCTAATTCCAGGTGCTAAACAATAACATGTCATATTAATTGCATACAAATTGAATCGCTGTAGTGCTGTATCGTCAGTAATCCAGTCCTGGTTTTAATCAAACTGTCAGGGATTATTACCTCCTCCTTGTGACAGGGTTTATGTCTCCGGTGGGTTCGTCTGTATCGTCTCCTATAGCTGTTTTGGCACCAGGAAACAACCAGGCAGCTTCTGTTGAACTATTTTCAAGGTGAATTAGTAGACTTCCTGTGCTTGCAGCTTTTTTTTTTTAGACCTAGAGCGTGGGCATGGTTCAGTCCTTCAGCTCTTTCACTGGTAGACCAGCAATTTGTCTCTCAGCACCTACTGTGAGAGATGTACACAGGGAGAGGGCAATTTGGTTATCTCCTGGCTCTCTGTACCTCTCAGCTAGCACTCAAACCATGTGCTGATTTTTTTATTTATTTATTTATTTTTATATCAAATTACAGAATTTAACAACAAAGTCCAGCTAAGTCTTTAACTGCCTGATATTGTACAGCATGTGAACCAGCTACTTTCTTTTTGTTTGATGGGTCTTCTGTGACTGGCTGCAGTTTTTTCCGAGCCCTGCCAACTGAAGGAATTCAAAGCATTTCCTGTTTTTATTTAACTACATCTGTTAGCTCACATGCCAGAACACATGCTTTTGGAATCCTTTTGCATGGCATTTTAGATTTGAGACTCGATGTTGGAACCTTATCAAACCACTACAGACATAATGGGCTCCTGATGGGCGGGGAGAATAAGGGGGATTGACTGGTAAAGTGGAGGCACAGCCCTGCAGGATTTTCCCGTTAACATCTTCTTCGGCAGGGACAGCTTAACAGAAATTGAGCCGTCTCTCTGCGGTCTTACTCGGCTTGTTAGTGAAGAGGGGCAGCGCTGGGGCCAGGAGCCCAGAGACTCAGATGGCATTTGAGGAAACCGACTAGAGGATGGCCTTTTGAAGAAACAAGCCACAGAGACGCAAGATCACTAATTAGCCCTCTGCATCCTCAAGACTCACAACTTAGTGTCTTCTTACATTTCGCACCTCAAGTTTGACAAATATTGTGAAGAGATGTGATTAAAGTTTAACTAAGAAAAGTAAGAAATTGCATGACACTTTTTTTTTAAGAAGTTCTGTTCTGACCGTGACATTTACATTTGACTAAAAATGATAACGGTCTTTTCTTTAAGCAGCTAATCCATCTGTTAATTCTACTTTCCTAATAAACAGCAGCACAGAAAGTACCATTTAAAATAACGTGAAGTCTGCGAATGACGACATAATCCCTGCATTCATTAACATTTTTGTGGCTCAGATTTCTGCTTGACCTTCACAGAATTACAACATTCTGCATGAATGGAAATCGCTTGAATGGTTTAAGAGCGGAGCTGCAAAACAAGTTTGATAGGCGGACTTCAAGCTGACTTTAAAGCGAGATCTGCCGTTGGCATTCAGCCATTATCAGCTGTTTGAACACTGCTCACTGCACCCCGGCTGGTGCGCGCCACAGATGCAGTAATCGCTGACAATTATTTTGTTTAGGTTTGATTGCACATGATGCAGGCAAGCAATTAACAAAACAATGTGACACGAACGTAATTTGCTCTCTCAGCAAAACGATATTGGCTGTTTGGATCCAGTAGCTGGTGAAAGGAGGCTGGCAGGTGTTCATCTGTAAGTTCCTGCATCACAGCTGATGGGCTGCAGAGCAACAAAGACTTCAAGTATCCCAGATAGTGCTTACTTCCTGTAAATGGTCATTGTATATCAAGCAACTACTCAGAATAGGAAGATACAAATAAGACATACACTTGAATATATTTGCTTATGTGCACTTAAAATTCATCACCTTGATTAAATATCTACTACTTAAAGGGGGCTTATTGTGCGTTTTTTTTCTCTCCCTACTCTTGGATTTATAGACATCGACTTTATTTAATTCACTTGTTACAGCTACGCAAGAGAGGAAAGAAAATGTATATGTATGTACAAGTGCAGTGATAATGATACACATGTATTATTATTAATTAGTAGTATTATGTCACTAATAGCAGACATGCCTTTTGTGGTCATTTCGAGTACACAGGTCCAGCTGTGAGCACACAAGCCCCGCCCAGCTGCTGTTCTTCCTCCCTACAGAGGATGAACTAAGACGCTGCACCATTCCCATTCTAAGATAAAAAAGGATTACTTTGGATTTCACTTTAATCTCATGAGGGCAAAAGAATAAAAGTCAGGGAGGTCCAAATATTCAGTTTTTTCTTCTGTGTATTTTCATGTCTGTATCATCAGATTTGCAGATGGCTGTCTCTCTCTGAGCCTGAATCTTCCTGTTGAAAGGGAGTTCTTCCTTCCCACTGTCTCCGAATACTTCCTGATAGGGGACTGTCTGATTGTTGGGGTTTTCTCTGGTGTTATTGTCTTTACCGTACAATAGAAACCACCTTGAGGCAACTGTTGTTGTGATTTGCTGCCAAATAAATAATTGCTTTTAATTGTATTCCTTTTCTGCTATATTATTACTGTCTGTTTATTATTAGGGGGAAACCAAGGAAAAGAAAGTGAATAAATTACACCTGTCTGCTTAACATCATGACACTTACTGTTCATATTTTTCAGCTTTTGTCAGCTGTTATCAGTCAGACCATTGGGTTTCTGTGCAAAAAAAAAAAAGTATTGAGGAAGAAGCTTAAATGGCTTGTTTCAGACAGTGGATATAATGAGGTGCTGCACTGAGGCCCGGTAAACAATAAATAAGGATCACTTTGAAATGTGAATCATGCAAAGATAAGAAAGTGCAAGAATAAAAATAAGGAGCTCGAAATGAGCATAATAGGTCCACAATAAAGGCTTGAAAATATACACATTCTTCTGCGCCCCTGCTTATGTCGACTCATTTACACCATCACACCCGCTAAACTTGTCAGTGAAGAACTTATGATGGCAAATAACATCACTAATGAGCCATATTGAGTTTTACTTTCATGTCAGCAGTCATTTTGTCACACTGTCACACTCTTCAGATGATGGATATCGTGCTCGGGAATGAAACTCTTCAAAGTCTGATTACACTGTGCAGCTCAGCCAATAGAGTAATCTTCATCTCTCTCTCTTTCTGTCTCTCCCTGCTGGCTCAGAGCCACCCAGGCCTCAGCTACCCCCTGCAACCCAGAGGGACCAGGCTTGTGTCGTTCTCTCCAGCTCCGACAGTGAGCCAGAGCTCAGCTGCGGAAAAGCCCGGCCTCAGAAATCACGCAAAGGCAAACAGAGCAAAGAGGGGGAGATGGAGGAGAAGGAGGCTGAGCCTCCCAAAGACAAACAGAGAGTGGGAGAAGCAGAGGAAGAGGACAAGCGGTGGCTCAAAGGCAAACAATCAGTGGGAGAGAGAGGCGACGTCGACGCTAGCGGTGGTGGCAGCCTCCCCCCTGACCGCACACAGGGTAATCCCACATGCAATCTTCTTCTTTTCATATCTAGGGAAATTGGCTAGTGCCTTCTTGTCACCTGCCCATATAATGCTGTTTAATATCATCACCTCCAATAAGGCACCATAGCTCATTCCATATGGGGCTAGGCATTATTATTCTTACTTCTTATTACTATTTCTGCACTTTGCGCCATGAAGCTACAGGAGATATTACAGTAAGTAAAACTTGGCTGATCTCCACTGGCTTTGAGGACCAGCGTACAGCACCAACTGACGAGCTCCTGATTGGCTGTTTTGTTTTTTTGTGTTGTTGTTTTTTTTCTTTTAATAAAGTTGACCGAGGTCTAATTTCATGAAAGGCACAAGCTCCCTAGATGCTCCAGCTCGTCCCTGAAACACAACCTGCCGTTCCCCCGTCCGCTCTGGTTATATGTGCACATGTCTGTGAATCTCAGAGGGATGTGAGGAAACAAATTCCCAATTACACAGTGTGTAATATTGCAAATTAAGACCTCTGTGTTCAAGTACTCGTGTCTCAAAGGGATACGCAAAGCAATAAATTGCACTAATTACAAAGAACTAATTACACTGTGTGCAATATGAAGAGCTTTAAAAAAATGCCAGACTAGCAGAGTCTAAGAAAAGCCCGTGACCTGGGTGTTGCCTCTGAAAACATGTAGATGTTCATATTAAAGGGGTGACACTGAGCTCGGGGCTTTTTTCAAAAACATTTTTCTAGAACACTCAACACGGGAAGCAGTAAAGTGTTCAGGTTTTAACAGGCAAGCCATCAATCCCCATTAGCCTTTAACATCCAGAGATCAGCGTGCAACAACCTGGCTGATTCCTGTTCTTGAGACACACGCACACACTTACAATTTGACATCTATTAGTGCCCAGATTGTCGAGTGGTTAATTTCCCATCTTTGCAGATACCTGTGCCACCCCATCAGTCTAGGACTGAATTCCACTGCAGCTTTTCTTTTCCCTGCAGTGCCTTCTGTACTTTATACTAAAGGTGAGCAAAAAGCCTTTTTTAAAAATAAAAACACCTCTATTTAGACTGACTCAAGGGGAGCGATAAAAGCTTCACAGTCGATCAGAAATGGCAGCACTAAAGAGACACCGCTGGATACCAACTTGGCCCCCTACGTCCCCTTAGTCATGCACTTTTTCCCCTGGAGACAGCTCATGTCTACCTGCAGTACTGTGCAGGAGTTGTAGAGCTTTAAGCAATAGCCTAAACATACAGGCAGAGTGATACAGGGCTGTCTTAAGTGATGAGAACACCTTGTCTTATAACAGACACGGAAACAAGAGAAACACAAGCCTATAAGCTGCCCAACGCTCGGTGGAAAGCCACGTGAGCTTTTTAGATTCCAACACAGTGTTTTGCAGTATTAAATTTGCCACTTGATTGTAATTTTTGAAATAATAGTTGTTTGGATTCCACAGATAAATGAATAAAAGGGGTTTCTCACTTTTAATTTTCTTATCTGAACCTTTCTTATTCAACTCCAGCTCTTAATATTTTATCCAGGGAGTCCTCTCGAGTAGGTTTGCATGATTCATAGTTCAAAAGGATCCGTTTTTACCTTAAACTGTTGCTTATAAATTGGATGGACACCTGGCTCATGCAATTTATAAGCCATTTTAGTTCCTCCCTCTTTAAGTCACCCCCTTTCTGAAAGCACACTTTCTTCTGATTGGCTAATAGCTAAATCCCTGCCACAGTGCTTGTGGGTTTCACTTCTGCATTAACATTTGATCGATCTGTAGACTTTCAGCTTTAATTTAAGGGGTTTGACAAAGTTATTGCATTAACTGTTTAGGAATTGCAGCCATTTTTATATATTGTCTCGCATTTTTAGAGGTTCAGCCAACATGCTGAAAAAAATAAGGTCTGTTTTAAGACTGATAAAAAGTGATTTGCTGCCAGAAGTCTAGAAGTCATGGACATCACCGTGTTTGTTTGTGTTTCTTCCCTTGGGATGCTCAAAGGCTGCCACCTTCAGTCGCTGCTTATTTGTGGGTCTGTATCAGACCTGTGAATCGTACGGCCCCTGGGCCACATCTGGCACTTTGGTTGTCCTGCGTGATGTCAATGGGAAATTAGGATCGAGCATAAATAAGTATACATTATGCAGTTTCCCATTTCAGCCACCAAAACTCGTCATCAGAGAATAGATCACTGTTTTGTTTTTTTGTGATCTTGTGAAGTCACAGTACAATTTTGTTTTCTTTTGTTTTCAATGTAGAGTTGTTGTTTTGTTTTGTTTTGTTTAAACTGGACTAATACATGTTTATTTACTGATGTCAAAGGTAGTGCTGCGTGCTTAGCTTGTGGAGGGCTGACTGCTGAGTAACTTTATGCTTGAAATCCTGGGACAAACTGTCAGGTTTTATGATCTACTTTTCAATTTTCAGATTTATTTTTATTGGTATTTAAATGATACCTACTTATATCTATCATTGAACCCAGATGACATAGTTTTTAAAACTACAGCTGTACTTGGTGCCTTAAAAATCAGAGAAACTGCGTCGAACCAGACACTTGCCTCTGAATGGCATACCTTGGCCTCCACCAACACTGTAAGAAATCTTGGAGTCATTTTTAACCAAGATGTCCAAATATGAAGAGCTACTTTCTTTTATCTGCACAGTTTCTCTAAAATTAAAAGCCATTGGAAACTACTCTTATTATTATCAGGTTGTTCTAAAGATTCCCTAAAAACCTCCATTTAATCCAAAATAGAGGGTACTAACAACGCCAAGAAAGAGATGATATTTGTCCCATATTGGCCTCTCTTCATTGGCTCCCTGTTAGAGCCACAATCAAATTTATAATCCTTCTCCTCACATAAAGGGGCAGGCCCAAACTTATCTTAAAGATCTGATAGTACTGCTATATATGTTGTCCTAATAAAGCACTTTGCTGTCAGACTGCAGGGTTACTTGTAGTTGTTAGAGTTTCTAAAAGTAGAATGGGAGGCAGAGCCTTCAGCCATCAGGCCCCTCTCCTGTGGGGCTCTGTGGGGTGTTTGATTGTTGGGTATTTTTCCAGAATACTTCTGGAAATAATACCTTCAAGTGACTGAACTGAATTGAAGTGACTGAAATTGGTATTTTTGGATTGTATCGAAAGTCAGGAGGTGTTGTGTAAGTCAGTCCTAAAAATTTACCATGTTGTTAACTTCATCAGGTTGAAAGGACTGAATCACAGATACAGTAGTTTGTTTCACTTTTGGAGGCGCTTCAGACTGAACATGGTAACGCGGACTAGCACACAGCTGTCACGTGGCTCCTCTTGGGCAAAGCGTTAAAAGAGTATGGGACCTGAGAGCAGTTTAGTAAGGACATTCCCGAGCTCTTAAATCACTCATGACAAAAAAAACTGGATTTCTGCCACTGAGTAAGAAAAAAAAAAGGAAAAACTGCAGATAAAGTAATTAAACTACAAGAAAACTGGCAATAGTAGTTTGAAATTTAGCAAAAAGAGATTTTGTTCACTCTGTTTTTGGGAATGTGTTTTAAAAGATAAACTGCTTTTTTTTTACCTACTTCACATTTTCATTGCCTAATTACAACATCTACTCTTAACAGTAGCAGTTTATAAAGAGATAAAAATAATATTGAACAGAACTAAGTTCAGCTTATTAATTGCCCACCCACGGTATGTATGTATAGATATATAAGTATGAGCAGTTCATAAATTAATTTATTGAAAAAGGTACAAACATTAGTCTTTATAATGTAATAGCTTACACAGCAGGACTCCATCTCCTTTCAGACTGCATTAGGCCAGGCTGAGAGTTGAGGGTCATCTATAAACCTGTTAGCTTGCCAGGCAGTTACCGTAGTTACCGCAGTCTGCCATTTTAACCATGTTTTTTCATGGTTTTAAGAAAAAAAAGACGAAAAAAAGCCCAATCTTGATCATAGAAGTGTTAAAATGGGACTGATCGGCACTGTACTAGTTAGTCCCGAAAAGGTTGATTCTGTTCACGTGGATGTAGAGTTTTCAGTGGGAGAAACGTTTCGTCAAGTGACTTCTTCAGTCTCAGCTGACTGCAGGTTTCCCCGATCTTATAAACCGTACATTTGCACAATGACTGAAACCAGCCCACTGAAGGAACAATGGGCTGTGAGGTCAGTTTCTTCATTGGTCAGTGTTGATCAGTTGTCATTATGCAAATGTACTGATTATAATTGACGAAATGTTTCTCCCACTGAAAACTCTACATCCAGACGAACAAAATCAGCTTTTTCGGGATTTCCTTACCTGGATGATTGAGCATGCATCAAGTCTTACTAGTTGGTGTTAGCCAATTAAAACCAAATGACTTACAAACACCCTCTTTAGTTGATTTTAAGGCTCCACACCCTCTGACCTTAAAGCTGGCATCACCGACAACCCCAACACTACAGTAAATCTGTGCCACTTTAGTCGTTTTTAGTTGTGCTCCTAAGTCACTTTAATCATAGAATAAAGAAAAGAGTCATTCTGACTCACACGTGTTTGGGCTTTCTTCAGGAGTAAAGTTCGGTTCCTGCAGGGTTAGGGTTACCACCTATGATGAAATAGACCTCTGAATCCACCATCTCACTTGTAACCTGTGATTTTGTTCTAGCCACGTACTACATAGACAAATTTTCAGGGTCTTGAAGATAAAGTCTCACATTTTGAAACTTTTCTATTAAAACAATACATTTGGGTGTTTTAAACAGGCAACAATTCTACAAGAGGGATCGGATGGTAACCGAGCCCTACACCTAACTCTGACCCTAGAGTTTAGACCCAGTGACCTGGCGCATGTTACTACGTTAATGTCTTCACTTGATTTGTTATAGGTAGTTCCAGTAGTCCTATGGCAGATAGTACCGCTCTCACACGGAGGGAGGCAGCCTGCGCTGAGACAGACGATATTGACAGCTTAAATCTACAAATCAGACTGCCTTCAAAAACTGCACGAGTGTACTGGCTAGTATGCATGACGTAATTTGTTTTAGAAA